TGGTCAGTCTCGTAGCTTGGGGACAAGAGGGTTATAGTAGAGGAAACCCTTATGTTTCTTTTTCTATGTGCTTTGGTTTATTGTACAGAATTCATATTAACTCATGACTTTTGCCATTTATTTTCCATTATAATTATTATAACATCCTTGATCATACTGAGCTAATTCTATTAACAGGCATTCTCCTCTTCATCCTGTGTGTAAATCAGTCACTGTAACTTTCTGAGTGATGCTAGTTTCATCACCCATCCATAGTCCTGATGCTCTTGGTGCAGCCTGTTTCCTTTGACGTCTCTTTGGAATCTAATAACTGAACACTTCAAGGATGACCTTATCCACCTGCTTCCAGAAAGACATTCATTCATCCTGGAATCCCCTCCAGTGAGCCTACCATGGCCAAACAGATCATTCAAAGTGCTATGGATGAAACATTACTGCTTCTAGGACCTTACTCCTCAACAACTTATCATCATTCTCAGAGGGACTTATCCGAGCACGAAATCCTATTTCCCATCAGGCATAGCCAAGCCCCTACCATCTTAATCATCAGAAGCCTTCTTCAAGCATCCCAGATCACCTTCCCACAGGCTTCTGAGTGCTGGAACCTAGTCTTTCATTTTGACCTGATGGAACTGGGGCACCTTATCCACTCCTCGGTTCTTGTCACTTCCCCAGGGATCACCTTTGATGGGATGATGCATTCTGGATGCACTTTCACCTCCTGTGCATCTGAGTCTGAGACATAAAGACCAAGATGTTGAAGGGAATACCCGGTGGTTTCCTGAGCTCTTTCTTACGCAGTCCTGCATTCACCCTTCATTGTATCCTTGAGGAGATGGGGAAGTTGAGCTCTATGACCACTTTTGCATGCCAGAACCCTGGGCATCCAGGTGAAAACATGTCTTGTACAAGGTTAGTGCTGAGGTACGTGATCTCACTGCTCCCCTCAGAGACCCTGTCAACAGCTGAAATCGTGACCCAGCTGCACTACTCATATACCTGCACCTAGCATCTCTGGATGCCGTTTTCCGCATCAGGAAGACAGCATCCACATGAAAGAACAGGAGAGGTAAGGAGAGAAAATAGCAGGGTCTATTGTGTTATGAAGGGGGGAGATGAAAGCAAGGTCTTAACAAAAGATGATCAGGAAATCCATCTGCTGCAGACTGGGCCACTGATTCTGCCCATCATGGGATCTACTCAGGGCACCAGATTTTCACCAGTCCATGCGAGGTTCAGACAGGATGTGGCACCTCCTTCCGTTTATGTCCCTCCTCTCCATATGGAGAGTCCATGGTAGTTTCCCTCATTGCCTCTCTTCACACCTATAGTGAATAGTGCACAAGTCCCTGCAGTCTAGCAGTCACTCGGCTGCTCTTCAGGTTCCAGAGGCCCAAATGTGACCAGGGAATTAATGCCCTATGAGGTTCGGGAATCTTTCTTACGCTCGCCTTCACCAACAACCAGAGGCTAGGAGGTTGACTCCTCTTTCACTGTAGGCTCAGTGTGTATTCCCCAAAGCCTTGAGAATGCCAGTCTCCTGAACTAACTCGCAAATGGAGTCTCATTAAAGAGAAAACTTGTGAAGTCTCAGGGCCAGTAGCAGCAAAAGCAGGACTGGAAGCTGCATCTGGAAATTCAGAGGCTGCTTCTACCCCTGACTTTGTTTCACTGCCTGCAGATGATGAGGAGATCCCTCGAGAAATGAGGAGTCAGCAGTGGAATAATGTGTATAATCAAGCTGCACTGTATCCTTTTGAGCGTCCTGCAGGAATCCTGGGCTGGTGCTGGGAAAGACCACCTTCCCCGCCTTCTGTTTCTGGGGTCTTTGGGAACAATACTTCTGTGAGATATTTAGAATTCAGAGGGCCCAGATTAGGATGGACGACTAAGGCCCCTTTGTGGTGGACGGCCAAGTAATAATGCATCGCCCCCCCCATTGCTTAGTGATACCCCAAGTGGGACCTAGGTGTAGCAATGAGACACCTCTGTTCATGGAGACCCTGCAAAGAAGCAATTTCCACACATTGCAGAAGTGTCCAGAGAAGTGGGGATGGTGACTTGTAGGGAGGACCTCAGACTGATAGTGGAGTGTAGAAACTGTTCTTAATAGAGGGACCCCAGATAACATGGTTCATCCAGTGTTGTGAGTACTTCACCAAACGGGTCCCTACATTGGAGGATGAGCCCCTTCCTTCCCTTTCCTCCCAGGGGACAATGGTCATATGACTTTCCTAAAGAGAAGGGGGCCAGACTTCATTCTCAGTCAAGATGAGAGTTGGGAGAGAGTCACAGAATCCCCTCCTTAGACATACCGGCCCTGATAATCAGGCTAAACTGTATCCTTTTGAGGTTCCCTTATCTCACTGGGGATGAGGAGAGAGAATGAGAACTGCCCACCTTCCTACACCTGCTTCTGGAGACTTGGGGAACTTGGAGCCATTTTATGAGCTTCCCAGAAGATAGACGCTGCTCTGGTACCGACTTGCAGGAATGAACCAGTCTGCATGTTTCAGTATCCACTTCCAGAGACTTTGGTTATGGGGGCCATTTTATAGTTTTGAAAAGGAAGACAAGCACACTGTGGTTTCCAAGTGGAGGTAAAGGCTGATATTGGGCTGTAAAAGCCCTTCCCTGAGAGAAGATCTCCAAATAATGCAGCTTCGTTACTAAGGTCAACCTAGCAACAAAGGGATACCAGTTTTAAGACTCACATCCTTGAGCCTGGAGAGAAGGCTAGCAGTTAGGCGCACTGACTACTCTCATGGAGGAACCCAGTTGGGTTTCACACACACACATGGCAGCAAACAACCTTCTGTAACTCAAGTTCCAGGGGAAGTAGATACCCTCTTCTGACTTCTGAGGGCATGGCAAGAGTGCACTTACATAAAATAAAACTAATAAATAAAATATTCTAGAAATAAAATACAGGGGGAGGTGTGGAAACTGGAAGTGTTCCCTGGGAGGGGAAGAGGGAGGGACATCCAGCTTGCCATGGTGTGGAGGGAGGGAACTCAGGAGAGGGGGATGGTGGGAGGCTGGTACTACTAGGGTGAGGGTGGGTATAAGGGGGGATGCTGGGACTGTGAGTGGAGGAAGGGGGTCAGATGGGAGGCAGAGCGAGTGCAGACAAATGGATCTTGGGAGGCTGGGGAACTCAGAGGGAAATGTGTTGCTCCTGAAACCCATGAGAAATGCACACTCAGCATCTGAACATTAATGCATATGCATACCTGGGGATTGCATGGTAAGGAAGACAGTGCCAGACAGGAGAGTCCTTGCAATGAGTGGTTGGACAGAGTGGTACAAGTGACTCCAGAAATAGCACAGGCTGTCCCAGGGCTGTTGGTTATCTCCTAGAACTAGAAGATACGAGCTGCTGAAGACAGGACATACCTCTGATACAAGACTTGGAGCAACAGAGCGGAGGTGACCTGGAAGTCTTCTACCTGAAGTTTATCGCTCATAGTGCTCGGTGATGATATGTAAGCTACTGAGGGAGAAAGTCAATCAAAGGTCCAACCCAGCCCTAAGGCCTAATAACCATATGGACCTGCACAGCAAACTACCTCTATTGGTTATCGAGGGGGGAGTCAACAGCTATGTAATTGGACTTAAATCACTCTCAATGGCAGTGAACTTATGGGAGGCACTGTAAATACAGCTAAATACACATGGCTGGAGGGATCTTAGAACCTAGAGAAAACCCTATCTCTGCCATATCTCTAGACAAATGAAATTTCTTACCACATGCTAAATGCAGAGTTGTATATTTACTCACAAGTATACCATACAGGATGCATTAAAAAAAAACCCTCTTTTTGCTGCAGATGGAAGCTACTGCAGAATCCTACAACTGGTCAGACACAGAGAATATATGTCTGAGAGATGCAGTCCTGGGTGACACATCTACAGTTGAACCTCTACACCTAAGGCTCATGGAACATAGCCAAACAAGGGGTAGAGAGAAAACCAGTGCATCCCTCAACTCTCAACAATGAAGCTTCCATATACAAGAGAGTGTGATGCACACATAAGGCCACAACAGGCCATGTTTTAAAGAATCACAGACAATAGATTGTGTGTCTCTGCATAGGACTCCTATGCTAAACCTCACCCACCCACTGCTCAGGGACCATTGCAGTAGAAGAGGGGAAATAATTTAAGATCCAGGGCTGGTTCGCAAACATAAGGAAGCAGAGGCTTTCAGGCCACTGGAAGCTTGCTCGTGTGAACTTTTGGCAATGGTGGCCTTGAGCACAGGACCCATGTCAACTCAATCAGAGAAGGGACCAGAGTGGAACAAGAGAAATAATTTGAGTGGGCTGGCCCTAGACTGGGAATTATTGGAGACTGATTACTACTTGCTGTGGGAGAGTATGCCTTACTTACGATCTCTAGATAGGCTTTCTAGTCTGCAGTGATTGCATTTGTACCAAAAGACATCTGGGTACAAATGTTTGAATGGATGGAACTTAACATGCATGGCAGAATACCTGAGTCTGGTGGGAGATGGGGGCCATGGATGGGGGAAGGAGTCTAAATTTGATTAAAAATTGTATGAAATGTGGAAAGGATCAATAAAAATTAAAAAATAAAAATAAATAAATATTAAAAAATAGAAGCTCTACCTTAACCTGGAAAAACAGCACTAACACAAGATTAATATATCTAAACTTAACACCTGAGGCAAATAAACCATGTAGTAAAAGTGTATTTTGGAACCCACGAAGAAAAGAGATTCCCTAATAACCCCAATGGAACAGTAAGAGATGGATGGTTCACACTACACTAACAGGGCCTTGCAAACAGCAGGTGACAATTAAGAATACATTAAGAATACTTTACATTAGAATTTAATGAACTACCCAGAATGAGAGATTAAATATGAAAACATAACTAAAAAAATTTTGTTTTGTCATTCATGTGAATGTCAAGTTTTTTTGCATCATCTGGGAATCACCAAATCAAATGCATGAAATCTTGTTACAGATTACAAAGAAGATATTCTAGTTTATTTCAAAATATGAATACTGTCCTAACCTGGATACACAACAAAAAACACATTAGAAATATGACCTGTGTCTTAAAAATCTGATGCTAAATGAAACTTTCGCAAAAAGGGAAAACATTTTGGAAACCAGGAAGACATATCCAGGAGTCACCCAAACAGAATGGACAGAGTGGAATGGTTCACAGTGTCCTCCCCCCAGCTCTACTTTGACACACAGTTCCATACATCACCGACTCTGCTTGATATTATAGGGTTGGAAATCGCTAATGCCCTAGAACGTGTGCTGGTCAGAGCAGCAGTGGCATTACCTGGGCAATTCTGGCCTAGATCCTCTCTCCCTCATCTCTCAAGCCTCTACATACATCTAAGTGAAGGATCTGGGATCTTTCCTAGTGACCCTGGCAATAAATTCCAAGACTTTCATCTTGGTGTCTTCAGCATAGGCCCTTGGGCCCCACAGAAACACATGGTGAGGAGGATCGACGTCAGGCTCCTGCCTGTACTCCAGGTACCCTTCCTGCACTAAATCCTCAGTGAAGAATTTCCTGGGATCCCCAAAGAGAAAATAATTCGCACCAGCACAAATGCCCATGTGATTCAACAAAGCCCAGAACGTCTCCTCACTGACACAGTTGTCCTCCATGAAGATAATACACAGGGCAGTTATCAGGAGGCCTGTCTTGGGTATGCCCGGGACACCATGGTGCATGCCATCATAGGTGACACCCAGGGCAGGGATAAAGAAGTAGGTGTGAACACTGGGGAATACTTCCACCATATCAATGCCAAAGGCCACCTTGAGGCACTCAATGGCCTTTTTAAGGATCACAAGGCAGAGCTCTTCACGATCTACCATAACGCTAGCCTCTATTTCTGCCTTGGTGGTCAGCTTCTTCATGCGATACTTGCGGAGCAAGAAATTCACCAAGTCAAGTATTTTTTGTGTTAGTACATAATGCATGTTGGGCAGGAGATATTCCCCCTCCTCTACTTGGTTGCCAGAGATCTCATCAGAGGGTCTCCCTTCCATGGACCCCATGACAGTGGGTGGAGAGGAGGCTCCCAGAGAATTCTGGGCAAAACTTGGTGTTCCTCGCCCTGATACCTCCCTCCTGGTGGGTGTGGTTGCTGCCTCCTCATCCATGGAGACCTGACCATCATCCAGACCACTTGCCTCTCTTTGGGCCTGAGAGCCATCCAGGAGATTGGATTGCTGACTGTTCTGAATATGGTGCGTTGTGTCTTTCCTTAGGAGCACCAAGCAGGAGAGCGTGCTGCCCAGAGGGATGAGGACTCACAGACGTGGGAAAGATAGAAAGGGGAGGTGAGTGGACTCTGACCACAGCTCCTCTGGTTGTGCTCAATAATGCCTGTTGGAGGATTTTTCTTGGGTGGATCTCCAGAGGCAAGGCACTGCAGGAAGCATTCCCCATGATAGTCTGAAAAAGTGAGAGTAATTAGTTATCACCACCTCCCTTCTTGCCTGAGCCAAAATCTCAGGAAATCTTTGTGTCTCTTGAGATGGGACAAAGGCACAGCTGGTGCCTCATATCCCCTAATACAAGTTCAGATGTCAATGTAAGTTGTAGCCCAGGTTAGTGCACTATATGTGGCCAGGATAGAAGACCAGACTGATTCTCATCCTGATAAATGGCAAGGTCTAGAATATCATGATCCCAGATCCCACCATATTTGAGGAGGGCAGGGAGGGCTTTTCCTCATGAGTTTGGGTGATGGACACCCTCAGTTCTTACCTTGAGTGCTGACACACCTGGGATCCTTCTTCTGATGAAGACAGTCAAGGTTCCTCTTAGCAGATCCTTTAGCAACCTGACACCAACCACCTGGAAACAAGACAGGATCAGAATACATACCCTGCCAGGACTGTGGGGGTGACAGAAATTTTGGGAAAAGCACTCTGGACCCCAAATTGTGCACTAACTGGAATTTCTTTCAGTCATCCCTTGGGGTCTTGCCCTAATCCCTGGCAAGGTCCTGTAAATGCTACTTCTTTCAAGAGTCACCCAGTTAGGACAAACTCTTGACCTCCTGAGATCCAGAAAACTCTTGTTAATAGAGCAGGTGCCACATCCATTCACTACACTGTGGAATTTCAGGTGATGCCCCAATGACATGGGTGTGACTCTGATGACATGGGGATTCCCAAAGTCCATCTGAAGTTGATCCATCTTTTCTATACTTCTTGATAACTCCTCTTTACACCCAAGGTCATCTCCACAAAGACTCCCACCTTCCTGACTGGAGCAGCTCAGTTAAGCATGCCACTTAACCCCTCTGAGGGTTGACTGCCTTTTTTGGCTGCAGACACCTCCAGTCCTCAGGAGATATCAGTACCTTCAATCCCCCGCTCTCCATATGCGGCAGTCCCTGCTGACCAGACGTCAATCCAGGACCAAGATCATCACCTCCCTGAGAATTCCAACTATGTTTCATCAAACATCAAGAAAGACATCAGAGCAGCCACCCCGAAAGGGCTCCCTAGGTTTCAGGACTAGGAAAACCAGGATGTATAAGGATCTTAGTTTAGGGAATGTTGGGGTTCTTCGCAGGTTTGCATCCTCCCATGGTTGCCTACCTGGATTCCTGGGAGATACGGGACACCCTCTTTTTAATTACAAATAGTTGATAGATGTGATGTGTATTTTGGTTGCCATAGGTGTGCTGGGAACTGAACCTGGGTCCTCTACTAGAACAACCAGTGCTCTTGACCTCTGAACTATCTCTCCAGACCAGAGTTTCTATTTTGTAAAGTGTGCCTGGATGAGTTCCATTTTAGTTCTAATCTACCAGAATCTATTGTAGCATTTGTATTGGCAAGTTCTAGAAACAGGAGACAACAGCATTAAAATGAAGTTATATCATTTCATTTTATTATTTTTATTTTATGTGTATGAATGTGTTGCTTGCATGTGTGTAATGCACCTGTGTCTTGCAGTGCCCTCAGAGGTCAGAAGTCTGTGTCACAGTCCCTGGAATTGGCGTTAGAAACAGTGTTATTTGAGTCCTGGAAACTGAACTAGGGTCATCTGTAAGAGCAGTCACTGATCTTAACCTCTGAGCCATCTCTCCAGGGCATGAAGTTATTTTTAAACAATGTTTAATGATTCAAGAATTTCATAGCATGTGTTTTGTCATCTTCAGACCCCCTCCTCCTGCTGCCCACCATGTTATGACCACCTCCTTGCTCTCTATTGTTTGTCTTTTTTACACAGGCCTACCAAGTCTAACTGTGTTTTAAAACACTCTTGGGTGTGGTTCTATCTCTTGGAGTCTGCCAGCCTACCTGGGATCACACCAGTAAAGAGAAGAGAAGACACCACTTGTAGCATCTTTTTTTTTCCTATCATGTAGTGCCTGGATGTATGTAAGTGCACCCATGTTGTGCAATGCCCAAAAAGGACAGAAGAGGCTGTCGGATCCCCCTGGAACTGGAGTTACAGACAGTTGCTGGCTGTCAGGGGGTTGCTGGGATTCAAACTCAAGTCTTCTGCTAGAACAGCCTGTGTTCTTAACAGCTGAGCCATTTCTCCGCCCCCCCCCTTTTTTTGGTGTTTTTGAGACAGGTCTCCCCGTAACCTGAGCTGGCCTGGAACTCACTCTGCACTATGTAGACCAGGCTGGCTTTGAACTTACAGGGTCTACCTGTCTCTGCCTCAAGAGTGCTGTGATTAAAGCCTTGGACAACCATGTCTAGCTCTGGAAGCAACTCATAAATAGCTAATAGAACTTCTCCTAGAGCAGGAGTTTCCTGCCAGTCCCCACCTTCCTTGCTGGCCCCCTGTGCGGCTTCCCTTTGAAAAGTTCTTAGGAATGCTCTCATATGTGCTTTGGGTTCACATGTGCAACTACCCTGTGGCATCTAGAAAACACATTTTCCTTGTATTCATCTAGCATTTCTGAGACGTAAAATATTTGTGTAACTTCTTCCACAGTCCCTTAGCCTCACAGGGACAGGGGGTGGTAGCGGTGTCTCATTGAAGCTCCAGTATCGTATTCTCTGCGTGCCGAGCATTTGTTGGTTTGTGGTGATGCCCATCTCCTGCAAAAACCACCTTCCCTGGTGAGAGTTGAGAGATGCACTAATCTGTGGGTGCAGAAATAAGTCATCATGAGTCAGTTTACTACTATGTCTATATGGCAGAATTGTATCAGCAGGTTCTCCCTAAGCTTGTCCCTTGGCTAGCCACAAGTTCTTGGCCCTGATAACTGTATCAGGTATGGACTCCATGTTAGAAGCAGGCCTTAAATCCAACTATATGATGGCTTGTTGATCCCATTACATTCATACCACTAGTGTACCAATTGGCAGGCATATTTTGTCAAAGTAGTTACTGTTACTTGAAGGTTCACAAGTGAGTGAGACTGATGATTCCCTTTCTCTGCCTGTAGCATGTATAGCACCTTCTAGTACTATGAAAGCAAGCCAGCAGAGATGAAGCTTGGAGGTCAGTACCAGTTTGATTTGTCCTTGTTTGCTATACAACTCAGGTATGAAGATTGTTTTTCAGCAGTAGGGTCTTATATTAAGTTCTTAAGGGTAACCAGGTGTAGTGTCAATTGTCAGTATTGTTTGAGGGTCTAGGTGATCTCTCTGGTCATCCAATCCAAAAGACTGTGTCCAGTCCTGACTTCAGTCTTTTCATTTCTTAGCATTTGGTGTCTATTAGGTCCTATGAACACCTATCAGAGAGTAACTGTATTTAAACATATTTAATACTGTATAAGTGAATATGGAACCTAGAGAAGGTTTCCATATGACTCAGTCAAAAAGCTTTTAGTGTAAGTTATCCCTCCTCCTAGTCCCTCTTCTAACTTCCGTTGAATTCCAAACCCCATTGTATTATCCTAAACATTATACCCCTTTCCATTTATATCACAGTGCTGTGTGTAATGAGGTGTATTGTGCGTGAACCTGGATCAGGGACAGGCAAAACCAGGAGACTGAGTTTAAGGTTTGGGGTGCCTGACTGGTTAGTAGGCCAGCTGGCCTGTGAGGATCTGGTAGGCTTTTGTAGGATGGGAACATGGCTACTGCAGTATCTGTTTGGTAGTAGGGGCAGCTGAGAGTCCATAGATTCAGGGCATGGGAAAGGGTCTAGTCTGTTGTGTCTGTGAGTATTGATCTGTGTAGGCAGGACTTTTGGAATAGCAGGAAGGGACTACGAGTGGTATGGTTGGATTTGGAGGCATATGTGTCTCCTGTGTTCATAAGCATGGACACAGGAATGCCAGCATGGGTTTGAGTGGTAACATGTGATGTGGAGGTGAGCATCTGTCTGTTGGAATCATGGGTCACAGGGCCACTGGAGAATGACGGCTGAGCTGTGCTTGCTGAGGTAGGAGGGATGAAGGGATTTGAGTGCTGACTTAGATGAGGTGGGCATGGCCTTGGGAGTTCATGGTTTGGTCTCAACAGCTGCTTTGTATGGAGGTGGGGTAATAGATCCTGTTTTACTATACCAAGGACACATGGAGGAGAAGGGTATTGACTACTGTTGGGGTAGGCATGACTGGTGACATAGGAAGTGGGGTAGGAACTTTGGATACTGGCTTAATTAGGCCCAGATCTGTTAAAGGGGAAGGGCAAGATTGTTAATTCTGAGGTGGACTAGATTTGGCTTATAGCACAGAACTAGTGGGTGGGGCCTCCAATATATAGGTTAGGACTGTGATGGGTGAGGTACCAAGTGGGGCAGAGCTTTACACTTTTCCTTGTAAAGAATCCACTGGAGGAGCAGGGCCTGTCTGTGAGTTCTCACAGAGAAGTGGCGGGCAGGGCTATGTGTACTGACTTAGGGAGATGGGCTTTGGGTACACCAGATAAAATTTGTGAGAGGTTACTGATGTTGAGAGAGAAGACCTTTACATTCTAACAAAATATGAAATTGGACTACATGAGGACTACATCAGGGCTCTGTGGGATGAGGTGAGAGAAGTAGGCAGGGATCTGAGTGCTGACCTGGGTGTATGTGGCCTACGTAGGTGGCCCTGGGGAACACCAGGCAGGACTGTAAGGATAGCCTACAATGAGAGGGTTGAATTTTCCATTCCGACCCAATGTGAGCAAGGGTCTCTTCTCTGTCTCCCCCTATTTTATCTCTTTAGATTCTTGTATCATTTTGACTCCAAAATCCACCCTATACTCCCTGCAATTGGCTGTTAGAACCAACCTGAGGACTTAGCTGCTCTCACATGGCCTGTGCTTACCCACAATCTTTGAGTTTCTCTAAGACAGGGTCCATTTACACTCGTATTGA